TATCTCTTTCTCTCTCTCTCTCCCTTTCCCTCTCCTTCCTCTCTTCTCTCTCCCTCTCTCTCCTCCCCCTCCCTCTCTTCTCTCCCCTCTCTCTCCCCTCTCCCCTCCTCTTTTCCCACTTTCCCTCCCTTTCCTTCCTCGTCTTGCCCCTTTTATCCTTACCCCCCCGCTTCCTATCCACTCTGTCTCTTCCCTGATTGTGTTCATATTTCTCCTTCCTCATATTGTCCTCTCTTGGTCTGTCTGACAGTCCATTTCTTTGATATCTTGCATGCTCTCTCAACTTCGTCTCATTCTATCTCTCTTTTCTTTTAATTTGATCTTTCTTTCCCCCATATATATATATATATATATATATATATATATATATATATTAATATATATATATATATATATATATATATATATATATATATATATATATATATATATATATATATATATATATATATATATATATATATATATATATACATATACATACATACATACATATATAAACACTTATGCATAGAATGTATTGACATGCATACATTTTTTTTTCTTCTACGATATATCTGCTGATAATGTCAGTGTGGTTCTTAAACTTAACACTGGGTTAAGCAGATGGCTTCTCATCTACCATTAGATGCCACTTAGACTGGCTAGTGGAGGTGGCGGTGTAAGATTTAGATGCAACGTGCCTAGCTTTTGTTTAGTTACCTTATGTTTAACTACTGCAAAAGAACACACAAAAAAAGTTATTTGAAATTGCTATCTCATTTCCATAGATGGCTTAGCTTTTTTTGTTTTTGTTAAAACAGTCAAGTTTTTTCTGCTCTTCTTGGCCACTTTGAAATATTTAATTTTGAAGATGAAGAAGTAAGATTTTAAAGGAAATGGGATAAGCTCTTTCATCAGTCTCACATCTTGTCTGATTCTAATATTCCTCCCCTATGGTTTTCCACAGAGCAACCCTGCCGGTGGGTATGGATGATACCTCCCTAACTGAAGCTAGTCAGGCCCTCGACAAGGCCAATCATAACAGGTATGGGGTCATCACAAAGTAATTTTGGTTGAGTGAAGGTCTGATCTCAATGGCATCCAGAGAGCTCCAGTTACTCTAGCACTTCATATAGAATATTCTTAAGATTATAGGACTTCAGTGTAGGAGGATTTGGATAGCATCAGAATAATATGCTTTCAGTGTAAAAGGAGCCAATAGGTCCTAAACTTTAAACCCAAGTGTAATTTCAGGCAATTGTTCAAGGAAAAGTTTTTGGCAGACTTTTTTCATCTGATTATCAGTTGATTTTGGTATGATTGCAAAAACTTGTTACACTGAATCAGTCTAATTTTTATTTCTCATAAGTTTTGATTTTTTAATGATTATTGTCACTGAATATAATTCTATCCCCAAAAGCAGGTACAGTCAGTCATCATCGCCGGGACGGGAACGAGGGCATGCAAGAAGACATTCCAGTGCTGATGCTCACCAGGAAGAAGGGGAAGAGCTCACTGACCAGACTGCCACTCTTACCCTGACGTCGGCAACAGCACGCCAGAGAGCTCAGAGCGACAGCCAGCATGACCGCAGACGTGATGGTAAGGAACAAGTTTGTAAATCAGTTTCACTAGATTTTTTGGGGTTTGCTTGCATTGGGCTTGTTTTAGGTCACCAAATGGGGGGGGATGGTGCTTACCAACAGATGATAAGCAGTTTTAATATTGGCCAACTTATGTCATACATACGTTACAGATGAGGGCTTATCATAAAATTCAGATGGTGCCTTGAAATGTGGCTGAAATTTTTGTATGCTTGAATATTTCACAAAGAGAATATCTTTATAAGATAATGAGTTTTATCCTTACATTTTATGGTCATCAAAATTATTTTCTGGAAATCTCATGGGCAAATATGTCTTCATCTTATCCTTACACATTCCTGCGTGGCTCACGGATGGTACATTCCCCCATGTGCTGGTGATATTCCCGCAGGAGCTCATGAATGAGCTCTTTCCTGAAGGCCTTCTGTGTCATATTCCATTCCAGTGCTTTGTGCTCCAATAAGGAATTGACGACCTAGTTTCTCCCTCTCTTGGTAGTCTTCTTTCTCTTTTAGAAAAAGTCATCTCCCTACTTTCCCCCTCTCTTCCTAATCCTCTCTCTCTTTTAGAAAAATGACGGGATTGCAGCGTCACCTGCCCCTTGCTCTCTCTCTCTCTCTCTCTCTCTCTCTCTCTCTCTCTCTCTCTCTCTCTCTCTCTCTCTCTCTCTCTTCTCTCTCTCTCTCTCTCTCTCTTTCTTTCTTTCTTTCTTTCTTTCTTTCTTTCTTTCTTTCTTTCTTTCTTTCTTTCTTTCTTTCTTTCTTTCTTTCTTTCTTTCTTTCTTTTCTTTCTTTCTTTCTTTCTTTCTTTCTTTTCTTTTTTCTTTTCTTTCTTTCTTTCTTTCTTTTCATGACGGATTGGTGGCATCACCTGTAGCATGGTTTCATCAAACGGATCCAAGGGGTTAATACTTATAATCTGTTCATTATCCATCTATCCACTTATCCAATTTATGATTAACAGGTTCAAAAGAGAATGGGCAAGCAGGGAGTGGAGGAGAGGAGGATGGAAGTGGCACACCTCCTGTTCCACCTCGGAGAAAAGACAAACGGAGACACAACACACCACCGAGACCTCAGTCAAATGGCTTACCACCCACTCCAAAAGTCCATATGGGAGCTTGCTTTTCAAAGGTATTATATCATGTATTAATAATAGTTTTTTGTAATTATATTTTTCTTTTTGGTTATGGGTTATTGGGAAATGCAGAGTGTATTTATGATATTTTTGTGATAATGTTTGGTTTTGTATCTAAGGATGGTGTTTGTATGTGTGTGTTTTCAAAATGTATGGCTGTTGCTAAACTAAATATTAGGCCACATTTATTTTATTTGTTGCTTTTTGGATTTGCCTCTTCAATTTTTTGCATTTTGAAAAAAATCATAAAATTAAAAAATTAGGCACTGGGCCAGAACCCACTATAGGTTTTTCTTTTGCAAATCTGTAAATATTGCTGGAAACCAATCAGAGAGCTTGCAGGAAGTGTTTTATCTTTCAAAACAATATGGTACCTTAGAAGTTTATATTGTGTGCTGGTATGTCCCTCGCTAAACTCTTGAATTAAACTAAAGTTATAGTTTTAGACTATAGGTTTACTTTAGCTTAGAGTTTAGCTGTAGAGTAGTTTATAGAGCATGTTGACAGTAGAGCAGATCAATGTTTTCTTTGTAAAGCTGAAAGTTTGCCTAAGAAGAAAACAAAATGCCAGTGGAAAGAGACCTGATACAGCAAACCTTCTTTGTTGAACAGGTTTTTTGTTTTTTGGGTACAGGATTTTTGTTACTGGCTTATTAAACTATGGATTGACATTATACAAAACAAAAATTACAATAATGGTAGCAAATGCAACACCTGTAAATTCAGTCAAAAACAATATTCTTTATTGAGAACTGTAGTGATAGATCAAAGAACGGGGTTCATTACATAAAATGAGCCATATAAAGCTGAAAACATGAATAATCCTGTCATTTTTTATGTTCTGTATATGTTTATATATTTAATTGTATATATAATAATAATAATAATGACAGATAAAAAATAAATTGATAAATAAGATTGCAACTTGTAAATCATACAGGCTATTTGGTTCTTGCCCAATATTGGTCTGGTTTGGTGAGCACTTATTTGTAGATTTTTTTCAATTCGTGTTTGCAAAAATTAATGCAGAAACATATGTCTTCTTTAACCTATCGCTGTCTGAGCAATATAGATATATCAGTATCTCCATAATAGAAAGTAAGACTGATACTGATTCGTCATAGCTGTATAAAAATGATTTTATCTATACATGAGACTGTTACACAATACATAACCAGATTGTGTATTGATAAGTAGGTTCACAAAAGTTTGCACAGAAAAATTACAGCTTAAAGATTAATCTTTGGAGTTAAAAATACATAGAATTGATCAGAGTGATAAAAGCCCAATAATAATTAATTATAATGATCAAAAGTATGTAACTATGATATTGATAATTACTTTTACCCCCTTGGGAATGCAGATTCAGGAATACTTCAATGCTAATTTGTTTTTACTCTACAGGTGTTTAATGGTTGCCCACTACATATCCACTGTACTGCCTCATGGATACACCCAGACACTCGAGACCAACACATACTGATTGGAGCAGAGGAAGGGATTTACACTTTAAATCTCAATGAGCTACATGAAGCAGCCATGGAGCAGTTATTGCCTACGAGAACCACTTGGATGTTTGTCATAAAAGATGTGCTTATGTCCATATCAGGTGGAGTATTAGCAAGAGTTTTTTTTTTAGATTTATTATTATTGATTTGATCATTAATTTGATAATTAATGAATGGTTTGGAATAATCTGAAAATATTTAGATATATATATGTTTTTTCAATTTCCAGTTTAATAATGTGTGATTTTTGTCCTAATTTCCATATTCAGGAAAAGGTCCTTATCTCTATCGGCATGAGTTGATTGGCCTTCACAATCGACATTTGCACAAGTTCTCGCTCCCCATGAATAAAATTCCAGAAAAGTTCTTGCCAAGAAAATATGCAATCACGACTAAGGTACCGTATGGCATTAAGCAGTATAAGTTATTTATATGTTACTGATTTTCGTCTTCATTTTCTCTCTCTCTTCTGTAAGTTCAATTGTATGTAAATACTTGGGAAGGGTTTCAGTATTTAATGGATAAAAGATTATGCTGAAATTAGTTTATGATTTTAATTATTTTATATGAGCATATTGAGTTTCATTGAGTGAAAGCTTGGAACATGTTATCAGCAAGAAAAACTAATATTACAGAATATATTCTGTATTAATTGCACATCACATTTTCCTCAGGTTCCAGATACAAAAGGGACTTTGCGATGCTGTGTAGGCCGTAATCCCTACAATGGCTACAAGTACCTGTGTGGCGCAACCAGCTCCTCTCTGTA